ATATATATATATATATATATATATATATATATATATATATATATATATATATATATATATATATATATATATATATATATATATATATATATATATATATATATATGTTTAAAGCAAAGTTTGAAATGCAGTTATTTTTTTAAAAAATACTTGGATTAAAAACTTTACCTCTAATATTACATTATTTTCATTACCATAACCAATACCCAACAATTATCATTTCTTCACTCAAACAATTACGAAACATCTTCATTAAGTCGTAATGCAAATTAAAACTGGATATATTTTGTTATTTCAATTTTATAGTTACAAAAATACCTTGATTTAATTACTTATCCCTTGGCTATAAGGATTTAATGTGGACGAACAAATGAGTTGTTGTTTTCTTTTGCCTGATGGTAAAATCAACAGTTCAAATAAAATGCCTTTTATTTTTGTCAACAAACATTTAATACATATGGTTATCAATGTGAACAATCCAAACTCCATTGCTGTCACTAAGCGACACAATACGTCAAATCATATGGCACGGTGCAGCTCTGTTTTACCGATTCTTACAATAAATTTTCTGGCTCATGGTGCGAATGACTTTGTGTTTCTCTCAAGATTATCTAATAAAACAGTCTACCAGCGTCACGCCAAGAAACTGAATCATGTTCACTCTACCTGCCTCAGGATACTCCTCGGCATCAGGTGGCAAGACAAAGTCCCCGACACCGAGGTCCTCGCTAGAGTGAACCTACCTAGTATCTGCACCACTCTGATGCAGTCTCAGCTCCTTTGGATGGGACACGTTGCCAGTATGGAAGACCACCGGCTCCCGAAACAATTATTCTTCGGAGAACTCACAATAGGCAAGCGCTCCCAAGGAGGTCAAAAAAGCGTTACAAAGACTCACTGAAAGTGGCACTAAAGGCCTTCAGCATAAACCCTACCCAATGGGTGCAGACAGCCCAGGACAGAGCCAGGTGGAGAGCTGCTGTCAAGAAGCGGGCTAAATCCCATGAAGCTAAGAGAGTAACCACAGCTGAGACACGCAGGCTTGTCCGAAAGAGCAACATTAGGTCACCGTCTGAAGCAACTATTCCATGCCCCCGGTGCCAAAGATTATGCCGAGCAAGGATCGGTCTAGCAAGCCACCTACGAGCTCACCGTATTCCCAAACTCCCCCTAACCGGATGATTCGATGGTCCTAGACGACTTCGACGGACGGACGAACAACAATCTAATAAAACTGTCTTACCCAGCATACTGGGTTGATTTTTCAGGTTTTATCTGTTGTTATTGTTAGTGGCAACACACACACATCTACTTTCATGTGGTTTAAAGTATCTTAGTATGCCATGGACTATGAAGGCTATTTGAAAAAAAAAATTCACTAACAACTGGTACATGACCCTACCCACAGTGTTAACAAAAATATTTGACAGACTTCACTTTAAAATCTATTTTTAGAAGCTTATTTAAAAAAAAAAAAGTAACTCTGATTGTAAAAGTAACAACTGTCAGTCTGTACAAACATAAAAATCACCACACAAAAAGATGAAACAAAAAACATCAGTCACCATAAATTTCCATAAAAACATTTCCAATGACGATGCATCAAATTCCTTAACAACATTGAATTTAAATGTTTTCATTTATGATGGAGGATTTAATAAATAAATAAAAGTCGACTTGTAGTTTGTGGTCTGACTTTGAGTTAAAATTTGTTTTGGTTATGCTTGTTCTAGCTGTAGTGAAGAGTGGGGAGAAATTAACAGGTTGGAGAAATGGATCACCCCAAATCAAATCGAATCTATTGGACCAAAATGTTTTTTGAACTAAATGTATGCACAACTAACTTCCTTTTTGTGATTTTTTAAGAGTTAAAAGATCAGGTATTAAAGAATGTTGTTTTGAATAAAACCTCATCAGGACGTTTAGAATATCAACTGGTTCATCGGGAATATTAAAGGTAAATATGGTTTAATGTATCATATTTAGTTAGTTATAGTATTTCATATTCGGTTTGATCATTTACACCAAGAACTTAAAAAAAAAAATCTGCATCAACCCCTTGGAGGGGTGAAACGGACCCAAAAAAAAAGGGGGAGAAATGGACACATAAGTCCATTTCTCCCGACTGTTAACTTTCTTAACGCTTCATTACTGCCCACTCTTTAAGTAATTAAAACTTATTTTTATATTGAGCATTTTGATAGTTATTTAACGTTAAATAAACATTTAGAATTATCTGTCATTATTTTTTGTAGCAAAATGTGATTTTAGAAAATATTTTCCTAAAGTATGTGTACAGAAGGTATGTAGAAATTAAATCGTCTAAATTTGTAAAGCTTTTGTTCTAGAAAACATCTTTAATTTCCCATG